ATTTTCTTGACACTCACAAACCGAAATATGTTTTCGTCTCAAAGCTGATTTCTAGTTTCTCTTTTTTGCTTTTCGTTTGTCATTTTAGTCTCATTTTGCATAATTTTTTTCTGTCCCACTTTTTTTTTTTAGTTTTTTGTTTCCTCTTTTTGTAGGAATCCGTGTTTCTGACCGTTCCAGTTACTTTTTTTTTTTACTCCTGTCGTCTGGCTCAAATTTAGCTGCTATATTTTTTTTTTGAATTACTATTTATCATCTTCGTCATTTCTCTCTTTCTCGCTTCTTGATGCTCAACTTAAAAAAAAAAAATCTCGTTGGCATAAAAAGGGCCCATACATCATCCGATTAAAACACATTTACGTCTACTGTCAGCTAAACCCCCAACAACTAACAAGCATTATAATAGTCGAGGGATGTGGAAAGAAACGTTAGAAGTTGTTTACCGAAAACACATTCACAGAGACGCAAACAAAAATAAAAGAACGCCTGCCGTAAAAGTTATGGCTATCAAGCAAACAGTTCTTCTTTTATACACCGTGTCTCTTCGGAATCTGGACGATCACGACTCTCCACATTTTCCTGGTTGTTATAGCAATAAACACCATTGATTTCTTTATCATTTATCTTTGCCCTCTCTCTGATATCAGTTCACAAAATATTCACAAAATCGATTACTTGATGATACCATCTGTCCCCTAGCCTTCAATGTCCTTTGAGTGCTGAATTTTCCGAGCCTTCTTTCCTCATAATGTGTCTTAAAAATGTCAATCGTGTCTTTGTTATTTTAAGTAGCAGTGTCCTTTTTGTTTCTATTTTCTTTAAAACCTTCTCGTTGCTCACATGTTCTGTCGGTGGTATTCTCAGTATCCTTCTGTAGAGCCAAATCTCTCTCGCTTCGAGTCTGCTCTTCATCTACGAGGAGGTTTTGTTGTTGTTGTTGTTGTTTTTAGCACTTCACCACAAGCAGAGCGGGAGTGTTACTAGTACGTTAAGGGGTTACAGAGAGTGAAGGTAAGAGAAAAGACTGGGTATGGGGGGGGAATTGAGGAAAGGATAAAAAGAAGAATGGGGATCAAGGTATCAGATATCGATTGACATTACATTTAAAATTTTGAAGTCTATAGTTATTACGGAAGTAAGTAAGAGGAAGGGAGTTCCACTGTCGGGAAGTGCGAGAGAAGAAGCTGTTGGAGTAGAAGAGGCGGTTACATTTAACTGTTTCAACAGTAAAAGAGTGGGACCCAGATGCCAAACTAGTAGCAAGCTTAAATTTATACAGTCGGAGCGCCAGTGAAAATGGCTCGTCAGAGCGGATGCCATGAAAATATTTGTAGAAAAGACAGAGGGAAGCCACATTACGTCGGTGAAAAAATCACTATTCATAGCCATGTAAAAAATTAGAACTTACATAGGATCTCAGCACCTTTTTCTTTGTTTTTAATGAAAATCGTCTAGGTCTTTATATTTTGCTTAGCTTCCGAAAGACATCTTCCGCTATTCTGATGCACTGTGCCTTAGGATTTCAGTACTCCCCACCCACTTTTTCCGTCGTCTCTTATGACACTTTCACTGATGGAATAAAGTTCGAGTTCAACGTTTACCCGATTAATTTTGCCCTGTGCCAGACTTAACCAAGCATCGTCAATGCACCCAGCAATCTAAATTATACCCCATATTTCCGTTGCTTCATCTTTTAGAAATGAGCGGGTGTCGAAACAACAGCGATGCAAATGGAATGACCGAAAGGCATGAAACCACCTTCCCTTTCTAGAAGCACATTAGTGAGACACACTGGCTTATTTAGCTTTGATATGGCAACCAGTCTGGCAGAAAGACTAAGTAAACTAAATTCAAAATAATGGAGAAGCCAATGAAAAATTGTTCCACTGCCTTACCGACGATCAACGATGACAATTCACAGATATTAAAGAAAAGGAAGATGTGGAGAGCCATGAAAATCTACTTTCTGAAGGGACATTGCCGTAAGAAAAATAATGGCTGCGACTCGATTTCGAGTAATAGCATCGCTTGAATTTATCCTCAAATATGTGCAGCGCGGATGTGGCTTTTTAGTCCTGCTAGAGTCTTACATTCTCCTGCATAGATGTGGCAACGTTGGACGTCTTTTAGGATAGTCATCACATTAAAATTTTTGAGAACTTTCATCGTCAATTCACCCAGCAATCTGAATTTTACCCCATATTTCAAATGTTATTTTAGTCCACCAACTGAGGCACATTCTTTTTTTACACACTCTGCAAGTAGAAATGCCGCATAATGTGAGTGAATGACTTCTCTCTCTATGTGTGGGATCTTTGAGGATTTCTTCTAGGCCAACCCTCCTTAGACAGACGAGACCACATTCATGACACTTTAGATCAAAATCGGTGGCAGCGTTTTCAGGGAAATTAACATCAGAACACTTAGGAATAGTGTTATACCGAAACATACCTATTCTATTGTAATAGACTCTTCCACACAATAAGTAGTAGTAGTAGCAGTCGCCAGGGGGCTCAGAGTGACTTGGTGAGTCAGTCGATGTCGGACCTTAAAGTATCAACCACAACTAGATTGCTGCGTCATTAACTCTTATTTCAAGTTCCTAACGTTTTGTACGTCGGACCCTTTTAGGACCGACTTAGTGAAATACAAGCCTCCACTGTGAAAACTACTCTACAACAAATATTTATGTTCGGTTTTTCATGCACGACACAATTCTGTTCAAAGATTCTCATAGCGACGTACACTGCTTTCCTCCAGGATGAACAGACTAAAGCTAGTTCAACGGTGCTTTATGGGTAGCAAGGTCTAACTTGCTACTCATAATGCACCATTGAATTAGCTTTGAGCGGGCGCTAACGGTTACATTTCTTATTATTCTAGAGTCTATTGACTAGGAATAATTGTGGATCGGGATACGGGTTCATTTGAGCTGTTGTATAGTGTTGTTTTTTAACTTTAAACTTATTAGAAAGGAGACTTTCTGGTGTTATCGTACTGGGGGGGGGTCAATCCCAACGTTCGATACCTTTGGAAAGTGCCTGAAAAGCACGGGTTAAGCATTGTGAGTGAAACTGGGTAGATGGAACGCTTGGGGGCCGTCGATAGCTGTGCTAGCACGAAGTCACAAGTCATCGTGACCGAGTGTTTAAGCGTGCTGAAAAGTGCAGAGGATTCGGAAAGAATTGAATGTTGATTACAAAAGTACAACAGCTCGGAAAACTCACTCTGATACTAATAAGAAAAGAACTCCATAATTTGTTGGTGAGAGCCTGATATCCTACATCAAGTGCCTTGAGTGGGTAGTGTTGCCCTGGGGTCAAGAGGATGTCTCCTGGGAGACCCTATGTCTGGCAACAGGGCACGTGCAGTAGAACCCAGTCATGGCTGTCAGACAATTTCTGCGGCCACATTACCCTTTGCATCTGGCCACCTAACTCCCCAGACTGCAACCCCCCTTCATTATTATGTGTGAGGTACAGTTAAGCGAGAGACCAACAAAACTCCTTGTAAGACCAAAGATTAGCTGAAAACAAGGATTATGGCAGTATTCACCAACTTAAACAAGGAGACCGTCCAGGAAAGTTGCAGGAGATTTTGAAGTTGCCTGGAGGCCATGGTTGAAGCCAATGGAGATTTGATTGAATAAATTTACTCTTTAGTATTTCAAGATATTTTTGTGTAATTCTGTTAAAATGAAATGTCAGTGTTATTTTAATTTTTGTGTAAATCCGACAACAATTTATCGATCGCACCCTGTATAGCTATAATTACATTCCCAGACCAACAGAAATTATAAAATAAGCAATCATTATATATATATATATATATATATATATATATATATATATATATATATATATATATTTAAAGTTATGGGAGGAAGGATTCTTCTCGGATGCCCCTCAGCTTCGTCGTTTCGGCCTTCTTGATGATCCCTTTGAGCCTGGGGAAAAGTTTAAAAAATCATACAGAGAAAAATCAGGGGAATAGGGAAGTTGTTCCGGTACGGCGATGTTCTTCTCAACCAGGAACTGCCGGATGCTAAGGGCATTGTGAGCAGGTGCATTGGCGTGGTGAAGCAGCTGCCATTTTTCCTTCCACAACACTCGCCTCTTCTCGCGCATTCATCGAAGCAAACGCCACAAGATTTCTTTGCAGACTTGTTGATTAATCGTCTGGACTTGTGGCAAGAACTCACGATGGACGATGCCTCATTACTTTTCAGTCAGACCTTTCATATATATATATATATATATATATATATATATATATATATATATATATATATATATTTAACCAGAACTCTTCTAATTGTATATATGGATATATATATATATAACAGACTAAAATAGATAGAACAGACTTCTAATTGTATAGTTAGATATAGATAGAAACTAGATATGAATAGATATTGATAGATAGAAGAGATAGATAGATAGATAGATAGATAGATAGATGTTAACGGACTGAGATAGATATGAACAGACTGAGACAAAGAAAAGGGGAAATATTCTACAAAAACTCACTTTATTTTCCATCCACTTAAATGAAATCTTTGAGTATTTTCATAAAATGAAATTCAAATCTTCAGATGTATGTTAGAAGTAATTAGTCAAGAGTGATGTATGACTCTATTTAGTTGAAAAAGTACTAAGGACCTGTGTTGGTCTTTTTCTCGGAAACGCAGATTGGAGAATGGTCGCTTGGAATATAGAATTGGCGATTCGCCTAAATTGGGAAAAGGGTTAAAAAAAAGTAATTAAATAATAAAATAAAGGCACTGAACTCGAAATGTCAAACTCTAGTTGTTTCGACTTTTTCACCTTTTCGAATAAGTCCTGTCCGCTTTCGCATCCCAATTTAGCTGTTTTGAAACATAAAACCCAAATATGTGAGCCATTAGGGATATGAATGTTTCATAGAGTTTTTTTTTTTCTGGGGATGAGAGGAAGAAAGAATTTGTAAAAAGCGAGATTTGAAGGACAGTTGGACCAGACATGTTTTGTAAGGCCACGGGACAAATAGACAAACACATTTTTTTTTATCATATCATCCCATACAAGGCAGTAAAGCCCCTAAGACACTGTGTGAAAGACTAAGAAAAATGAGAAACAGTAGATGAAAATAAATAAATATACTGTTTAATAAATAAACAGCCCGCCTAACTAAATACGAGTATCCATCAGAAATAACATTTATATATATATATATATATATATATATATATATATATATATATATATATATATAAAGTGAACATAGAAGTCAACACTTAGAGGCGACAGTCTGTTTCATGCTATATGCAATCGTCAGGCCACATATGCTGTTATTTTTCTCGGCTATTTATATATATACGGGTTAGTGGTGCATTGTGGGTATTCTATTATGGTGGTTATTTTACCGGAAGTCGTTTGTTTATTTATTTGGGTCAAATTATATTGCTCGTTTTACACGACTTCCAAATTATAGTATTTTGCAGTACTTTTTGTATCGAGCACTGTTTTTTTTTTTTTAAATAAAAGTAATTGCTAAGAACACCGGATTAAAAATCTTACTGTCCTTTCTTATTATATATATATATATATATATATATATATATATATATATATATATATATATATATATATATATATTTATATTGCTGCGGCAATGGTAGAATTCGAAAACAGATTTTTTAGCAAAGCCCAATCGTATCTTCTTAAGCACCTGTCTTTTTAGTCATCAAAGAGATTGAGTCTATCTATCTCAGTCTGTTCCTATCTATCTATCTATCTATCTATCTATCTATCTATCTATCTATCTATCTATCTATCTATCTATCTCAGTCTGTTCCTATCTATCTATCTATCTATCTATCTATCTATCGATCTAAATCTGTTCCTATCTATCTATATATCTCAGTCTGTTCCTATGTATGTATGTATCTATCTATCTATCTATCTAAATATGTTCCTATTCATCTATCTATCTATCTATCTATCTATCTATCTATCTATCTATCTATCTATCTATCTCAGTCTGTTCATAGCTATCTAAACAATTAGGAGTATGCTGGTCATTAAGTCGTTAAGTAAATAAGTGCTGCGTCGATTAAGCATTTCCTTATGTACACCTTTTTCCCCCGACTGTCATAACAATAAACCCCGCAACTTAGCCTACCAAAGGGTCAGATTTCGATGGGGAATACTCGATGATGTGTAAGCCGAAAATCAACATTCGAGAACCTACGATGCACACACACACACACACACACACACACACACACACACACACACACACACATATATATATGCGTGCGCACGCGTGTGTGTGTGTGTGTCTGTGAATTTGGATCAAAGATGGATCGGAATCCGACAGAATGATAAAATAATGAACGAATATGAAACGTTTATCAATATAACATGTCTTAGAGAATTAAATAAAAATAAACAAGAAAAACACAAAAAAATCTTAAAGTAATTCACTTGGTCTTCAACCAAAACCTGTACAAGACACAAACACCCAACTGACACGCACGCATAGAAAGAGGCACACACAAACACCCACTCACACGCATAGAGAGAGGCACACGCAAACACCCACTCACACGCACGCACATAGAGAGAGGCACACATAAACGTACACATACACAAACATAGACACACATAAAGAGATACAGAGACAGAGACGAACACATACACCTACACCAACACACAGACACACACACTTACACACAAACACTGACACCAACAAACAGGGACACATTATATATAGATATTCAAACGTTATTATAGTGGATAACGTTTAAAGTAACAAACATGTAGGATTAAAAAAATCAATTAGTTGTTTAGAAATATATATGTATACACACACACAAACATATATATATATATATATATATATATATATATAAAGAGAAAAAACAGACATTAAGAATTCACCGTTCTTTACCAACTACTTTTTTAAAAAGTGCTCAATACAACGTAGAGCAAAGTATTTTAGTAATATTTTGTTTAAAAATTATTTTTCATCGATACATAAAAATTTCTATGTTTCGGAATTAAAAACTGTTTTGTCATCAGGCGATTTTATGTAACTTATGATAAAGATCATTTACCTTTGAAAACAGAAAACAATACGATTGATTATTTAAGATTTAAAAAAGGAGAGGGACAACATTTCAAAGTTTTATGGGTATGTCTTGGTTAACCAATCCAAAGACGGCCAACACTAAAGCAGAAAAGTAGGAAATACAGGCTGGGTAGGTGTGTTATTCAATCCTCTCTAGATGGAAAATGTTCTCAATCAATGCAAGATACTTTCACCCTAACTTAGTACTAACCATTTGGTCAAATGGAGGGGGGGGACCAAATGAATTTTGTATTTCTATGTTTTTCCGGCTATTATTATTATTATTATCTTTTCTCAATTTAATATCGTGGCATTTATACCCACTGTTTTTTAAAGCTTTATTATAAAAACTGCAGTGTTTATGAAATATATCTTCGTTGGCAGAGTTAATAATAATTTTATATTCTATGGCTGAGGGTACGTGTTTTATTATAAATGGAGGGTGATTAAACTTTGGGTGAATATATAATTGATTAGTATCTGTTTTCTTTTATGGTTGGTATATATTGTTTACTCTTTTTACTCTATCTGTGATATTTTTACTAGATGCATTTATACTGTCTACCAAATTTACTATTTTATTATTTACTTTTCTATATTTTGTTAATTTTTTTTTTCAAATTATAATCCTTAGCCATTATTTTGTAGAAATTTGCAGTTTTATCTGATTTTACACACACTTCTTCAGATTTATAACGGTCGAAGGTTATAATAGAATCATAAACTGCATATTATTAAGTTTCCTAAAAATAATGATCCCTTAAATCAGCGTAATGAACTGACAGTATTTTGTAGGCATCGTATGTTTACGTTAAAATATAGTTAATAGAATTTTTCGTAAAATATCTATGTATTACATTTAGATATCCATTATTCTATTGACATATAACATTTATTTAATTCCTGAATTTTGACTGTTATACTGCCGTGTTTTATTGCCAATTCAACATAATAAGTATTGTATTTTGGGTTCAAAATAATATATATAAAATTGATTTAATTACACTAGAGGCCCATTTAAGATAGTTATCAAGTATATACAAAAATTTTTAAAAATCGTGAAATTCTTTAAAATTGACCTTTTGTTAAATATACTTCAATATATCTTAACTGTATATTCATAAACGGATGTCAGCTAATAGTAACACTTCTTAAAAAAATGCCAATTAGACAGGATTGAATAACGCATCCATAACCTTCAACCTATATTTCTCACTTTTATGCTTCTGCCTTGACCCGTCGTTTGATTGGTTAACCTGGACATACCCATAAAACTTTGAAATGTTGTCCCCCCTTTTTTAAATTTTAAATAAGCAACCATATTGTTTCCTGTTTTCAAAAGTAAACGATTTACATCGTAAGTTACCAAATATCACCTTAACAACTTTAGTTCCGAAACATAGAAATTTTTATGTAGCGATGACAAATATTTTTTAAATATATATATATATATAAGTTAACATATAAGTCAACACACTTAGAGGCAACAGTCTGTTTCATGCTTGATGCAATCCTCAGGCCACCAAGCATGAAACAGACTGCTGCCTCTAAGTGTTGACGTCTATATTCACTTTTATATTTACACACGCTCTATCTCTGATATTGAACACTTTATACCATAAATATAGCACATCTTAAGACTATATTTCTTCATATATATATATATATATATATATATATATATATATATATATTTTTGTATTTAGGCAGCAATCCTTCTTTCATGCACATTTCATTGATTACGACAGACAAGGTGCTTTTATTTAGTTTTTTTATACAATTTCTCATGCGATCTAATAATTTTTCTTTTCGGATGATAAATTATATAAAAAAAATATGTATAGAATTATGTATAGCTGAAAGCGCTCGGATAAAAAGAACATACGGAAAGTTTTTATATAATTTATCATCCGAAAAGAAAAAAATTATTAAAATCGGGGAAGAGTATGAACCGGACGACAGCCGAGCCTATCTCCACCTATTAAATGATTTCTTCTCTCGCACTTCTCGCCTAGGGAACCCCCATTCCAGCTTCCTGCTTTCTGGTCAACTACGATCCTCAAGCATTTAATGGAACATTAATCTTCATCTTCGATCTCTGTGAATCCTGTTCTTTTTATTGTCCATTCGCCTCGGTAACGTTTTCTCCATTTTCTTTTGCTCAGTAGTGGCTTTATCTCCTCGCTTGTGGTGAATGATTTAAAGAAAACTCCTCCACAACTTCCTGTCCTTTGTAGCTCTTAACAATGTTGGTAGTATATTAAAATGATCATTACTGTACATAATTCTTCTTCTTATATATGCGCCGAATCCCTTCAGGACGTGGGCGATAATGACTCTCCATAATTCCCTCTCTTTTGCAGCTCTTACTAAAGTTTGTCTTGCTATCTCTCCTAATATCAAACTCGTTACGTAGATTATGCGACGCTTTCCTCTGTCCCTTCAATATGGAGGTGAACCGGACGATAGTCAAGCCTATCTACTCTTATTGGGATAGTAGAAAAAATACAGAAAATTTCAAATTTCAGACGAAGATGTCAGAGGAGAAACCGGAAACTCAATCCAAAACAGAGAACGAAGGATAAACCTCTACTCCTGTTCAAAAAATCTGGGAAGAGTATGAACCGGACGATAGGCGAGCCTATTTACTCTTATTGGGAGAGTAGAAAAAAAAAAAGAAAATTTCAGATTTAGGGTGAAGATGTCAAAAGTACAATGTTGAAGGAACCGGAAACCCAGTCCAAAGCAGAGAACGAAGAATAAACCTCTACTCCTGTCAAAAAAATCGGGGAAGAGTATGAACCGGACGATAGGCGAACCTATCTACTATTAAATGATTTCTTCTCTTGCACTTCTCGCCCAGATAACTCTATTCGAGCTTCCTGCTTTCTGGTCAACTACGATCCTCAAGCATTTAATGGAACGTTAATCCTCATCTTCGATCTCTGTGAATCCTGTTCTTTTTATTGTCCATTCGCCTCGGTAACGTTTTCTCAATTTCCTTTGCTCAGTAGTGGCTTTATCTCCTTGCTTGTTGTGAATGATTAAAAGAAAAACTGCTCTGATACTTTCTTTCATAGAATCAGTCTTGGTTATCTGAGATTTCCCGAAGAGTTCCAAAACAGGAGCAGGTTTTACATTTTGACACGTATGTCTGATTCCTCTCCCAACATTTTTGACCGTATCGGGTCAGACTTAAATGTTACTTTGTCAACCTACACAACTTAGCTGTAAATGAATAAAAGTCTCGTCGAATATATCGTTTCAGTAGGAACGAATGAACTGCCCTGTCCTCGATTTAGCGAATTTGGTTGCATACGAGACGCTTTAGAAAGGACTTGTCGCTATTTTAAATTTAAAATAATACGAGGCTTCATTGATAACAAAGGCCTCCAATTTTTTTAAACAGTTTTCAAGCCAGATACAATGATGAAACTGGTACCAAAATGAAAAAAAATTATTTCTCTTCCGAATTACGAGGGTTGATTGATAAGTAAGGTCTCAAATCTTATAAAACAAGTTTGAGACCAGATAGAATAATGAAACTGGTATCAAAATGAAAGAAATTTATTTCTTTTCTGAATTACGAGGGTTGATTGATAAGGTCTCAAATCTTATAAAACAAGTTTGAGACCAGATAAAATAATGAAACTGGTATCAAAATGAAGTAAATTCAGAAATGCGAGAGTGGATTGATAAGTAAGATCTCCAATCCTATAAAACAATTTTGAAACGAGATAGAATAATGAAACACGTATCAAAATGAAGTAAATTTATTTCTCTTCAAAATTTCGGGGGTTGATAGATAAGTAAGGTTTCCAATCTTATAAAACAAGTTTTAAACCAGATAGAAGTATGTGTTTTTTCTCTTTAAATTTTCGAGGGTTAGTTAATTCGTAAGGTTATCAATCCGAAAAAAAATCAGGCTTTAGATTAAAACTGAATTATGAAACGGCATTGAGGAAATAAAAAGATGTCGAATTCTTTGATAAATATGTAAACTGTCCGTAAAGAGACATCTATCTATCTATCTATCTATCTATCTATCTATCTATCTATCTATCTATCTATCTATCCCAGTCTATTCGTCGGTCTCTTTCTCACTCTCTCTCTCTCTCTCTCTCTCTATATATATATATATATATATATATATATATATATATATATATATATATATATATATATATATATATATATATAAACTGTCACGAACTGTATTCCTATCTATCTCAGTCTGTTCATCTCTCTCCCTCTCACTTTCTCTCCCCATATATATATATATATATATATATATAATACCCTGTTCATATCTATCTATCTCAGTCTGTTCATTGTTCATCTCTCTCTCTCTCTCTCTATATATATATATATATATATATATATATATATATATATATATATATATATATATAAAAACACTGTCACGCACTGTATTCCTATCTATCTATCTATCTATCTATCTATCTATCTATCTATCTATCTATCTATCTATCTATTCATCCCCTCTCTCACTCTCTCTCCTTATATATATATATATATATATATATATATGTGTGTGTGTGTGTGTTTGTATGTGTGTGTATAATACCCTAATTCACTCTGTTCATATCTATCTATCTATCTATCTATCTATCTATCTATCTATCTATCTATCTATCTATCTATCTATCTATCTATCTATCTATCTCAGTCTGTTCATCTCTTTCCCACCTCCTTTTTTTTCATTCCCCGTGTCAGTGACAGTATCTTTTTTCTTTCTTTTTTTTTTTTTTTTCAATTTGAAAACCTCAGACAACCTATCCAGAGAAGACTTTTTAGTTTCAAGGCCTTCTCGGTTAACAGATCGAGTTTCCCGCGTAAATGTTATTAATGTCTGCAGTGTGTAAACTTAAACGGTGGTCTCATTAATGAAAGAATTCAAAAGTCGTTGTCACTGTTCACCACGGGGTTGGGATTGTTGATACAATAAGAGAAATCTGTTCTTTGGTATTCGCTTCGAAATGTTCTTTAATATTGTTTGATTCTCGTATCGCATATTTATTTCCCTATTTTTTTTTTTATCGTTAAACTTTTGACAGCTTATATGGCCTTCTCGAGTTCGCAAAAGACAAATATCGTCTATATTCGTGTACGAGTCGATGTATAGGTCGACAGTAGATTTAGGTCAAGAAATTTATGATATGCATAGTGAAGAGGTCAGGTCAACAGCAATTTTAAAGGTTATAGAATTACAAATGAAGGTTAGAAATCATTGTACATTTGGCAAATTAGTTCGTATTTGGCATCTTTGCTGTTACTGGAGAATAGCTTTCATGTCTGAAATCCAGCGTCGTTTCCGTTGACGGAAGCATTCCTGGAACTCCTTTTTTGGGGATAGCGAGCAGCAGCCTCGTGGCATTCTCTGTGATTTCCTCGACGTCTTCAAATCTCCTTCCTTTCGGGTAGAGTTTGAATTTTTGGAGAAGAAAAGTCGCAAGGCACGAGATCTGGAGAATATTGTGGTTGTAGGACCTCGGGTATGTAGCTCTTGGCCAAAAACTGCTGCACAAGCCATGATCACATTCTACACACATTCGACGACATTTCCTTTCAAGCACTGATTATTTTGATCAGCCCTCGTATATCTATCTATCTATCTATCTATATATATATATATATATATATATATATATATATATATGGTGGATGTCAACCTGTTTAATCTGCTAACTTCCATGTAAATCCCTCTACAGACTTAAAAGTAATTTTCTTATATATATATATATATATATATATATATATATATATATATATATCCGTCCTCTGTATGAAGATAAACTACATCCGCGTCCTGGGTAAGACGATAAACTACGTCCAGCAGCAAGTACTCTAATCAGGAGGTTTTGAGGAACGTTGAACCGCCTCTTAATTGCTGGTGTTCCCAGGTCCACCCTGACCTGGGGTGGTAGCACCTGTTGGAGTCCCAGCTATGGGCAAGTCGTTAACACCCGATCTCGGGTCTAAACAATATGAAAGTGTAAAAATAAGGTTTACTACCAGAAATACTTTGTAAAAAAAAATTAAAAAATTATTACTAACAATACATATTTTGAAAAACAAATATTACCAGTGAAGGAAAATTCTTAAACGAAATAGAATTTTGAAAGAAAAAATATTACCAGAAATAGATTTTAGGAAAAAAAATATTACCAACAATAAAAATTTTGTCGGCATTAAATAACCCATTGAGATTGATATATCGTAAAACAAACCAAACCACACACACACACACACATATATATATAATATTGTTAATTTTTTTATTATAATAAATTAAATTAAAACCATTTTACTAATTATTGTTAAATTATTTTATTAATTGGAGATTTTCTTTCTATGCGGCTATTTGAAAGGACAGGTCTATATACCTACTTTTTCCTACAAGCCTAGAAGAATTTAAGCAAAGACTCATTGTGTCGCTGGAGAATGTTACGCAAGACATGCTACTGCGTGTTTGACAGGAGCTGGACTGCCGACTTGACGTATGTCGTGTCAAAGGTGATGCGCATATTGAATATTTGTGAAGCTTTGTGAAATTGGTTATAAAAATCTATATGCCTTTGAATATCTTGTTCGAATTTTGATTAATAAATATTTTATTGCTCAATATTAAGCCTATTTAATTTTGTTTGCCTGAGACATTTAGTTACTTAGAAATTCACATTCTGAATGATGTCAGTTTGGCGGGGAACACCCTGTATATAATCTCATCAATAAAAAAAAAATATATTTAGTCTGAAGATGCAATTTTTGTCATTCAGTTACCTACCAATAGTTTTTTTTGTTATTTTTAAAACATTAAATATAGGTATCTTCACTAATTTGTGATACCTAAGGTTTAAAATGATTTTTTAAAGATGAAAAAGCTTTCTAGAAGCTTTCATTTTAGCTTTAATTGAAAGCGAAACGATTAAATTTACTATTTCTTGTAAGTAAAATACGCTGTGGGGCATTTCAAACAGAAATTAGATTGACTGAAATCGATTTTTTTTTTGCTAAAATAGCTGATTAGCACCCTTTTTAGGCGCCTTTCGTCGCGTTATAATTCGCTTTATTTAAAAAAAAAAACTTTCAAAAATAAAATATGCTTTTCAAATTCTTTATTTGAGGAATATTAGCTGAACTAAACTGATTTAAAACAAATATTATTTATTTTAAGTTTAAAATACCGCAGGAATCATTTTTAAGCAAACAGTAGCAATGTTTATAACTGACAGTAGCCGTGTTTACGTGTTTGACTAAGCGATGGCATATTCATTGTTGTTCTACGTAGACTTTATCTGTTAAAGCATAATTTAAGAAAATGACGTGAGCACCTTTTTTTATATATAATTTTTAAGTACTTATAAACCTTAAAAATATTGGAAAATATTTTCCGTAATCTAATTTACGAATGTTAACTTTAAATTTACTATAGTCATCGCTCTTATTTTCTGATAATGTCGCGTATGGTCGACGATACTTTAAAAATAGGCATGTTACATAATGTAAAAAATTAAAAACTTATTTGAAAAATCTTAGCACATAAGGATTTGTATTAAACTTTTCAATTTTTGATTAGTTAGTTTTCACTTAATAACAGTATCAACTAACGCAATCAAAGTAGTGCAGAAATTTAAAAGATTTGAAACTTAATAGATTATTAAAATTAAAATTAAAAATAATTTTAAAAAAATGAAAACAATTCTTGTAAAAATTCATTATTCATTGATTTTTTCTTAAGACAATAGAGTCCTTAATAAATTTTATTTATAAAAGCAGTTAAAACGTTTTCTAAATAAATGAGGCATTTTTATTGCATTATTTATTTTGATATTTGGGGTAGATTTTCGGGAAATGTGTAACTGTTTGGAAAAAAAAATGGATGATTTACATTCTCCAAGGAGTCCTGCTTTTAACTAATACAAACAAATTTCGGATCAAAATTGAATTTCTCTAAATTTAATGAAATTAAGTGGGGGTAACATACGTAAGAAAAAAATAAATATTTTTACTAAAATTTTCTAAAAAGTAAAATTTAAAAAATAATTTCATTCATTTGTGAATAAGTCCTGAAAGTTCCATTAAAATCCGACATTAATTTGATTTTTGCAATAATTTCCAAATCAATTTTTTTTAACGGAAAAAAGGCGCTAAAACATCAAAAGTAAATATTAAACCGATCGCTGGCGCCAAAAAAAAAAAAAGAAAAATCACAAAAATTTCGGACGTGCTAGAAAGGATTAAAAAAAATAATAAATAATAAAAAAAATACTTTCGTTTTTCCTCTTAAACATTTTAACGATAAAACTTTGTTTTTTGTTTAGTTTGGGGCCTTTTTATATTATGCTATGCTGTTTTTTTCATCGATGTAGTGGAGGCACCTATTAAACAGGTTTCTTTTTTTTCTTGGTAAAAATAACGTATATTGTATTTGTTAATATATATTTTATTTTTCTTATATGTATTTATAAAAATAAATATTTGGGATGAATTCAAGGCGTTTCTACTCTCTGTCATTTTCTAAGCATTGTCTTTGTTTTTCTGCGTCTATCAGACGCTTGTATTTCAAACCAATGGCAGCCTTAAAGTTTGTGGAAATGTCAGCGTTTGACCGTTACCCTTGTTCTTTGGTTAGCGTATAGAACAAACGCTTAAAAGTACAACGGTCCACGAGACTTTAACCCGATTAACACGATATGTGTATGTGGTGTGTATGTGTCTGTGCGTGTGAAAGAATATGCGTTTCTTTTCGTGTGTACGTTGATAGTTCACTGTTCTATTCTGTATTCTATCTATCTATCTATCTATCTATATATATATATATATATATATATATATATATATATATATATATATATATATATAGATCTGTTCATATCTCTATCCCTGTCTCTATATATATTCATATCTATCTATCTGTTCATATCTATCTATCATCTATAAATCTTTCTGATTATCTCTCTCTCTCTCTCTCTCTCTCTCTCTCATATATATATATATATATATATATATATATATGTTCATATCAATCTATCCATCTTTATAGATCTGTTCATATCTCTATCCCTGTCTATATATATATATTCATATCTATCTATCATCTATAAATCTTTCTGATCATATCTCTCTCTCTCTCTCATATATATATATATATATATATATATATATATATATATATCTGTTCATATCAATCTATCCATCTTTATATAGATCTGTTCATATCTCTATCCCTGTCTCCATATATATATTCATATCTATCTATCTGTTCATATCTATCTATCATCTATAAATCTTTCTGATCATATCTCTCTCATATATATATATATATATATATATATATATATATATATATATATATATATATATATATATTATAATCTGTTCATATCAATCTATCCATCCTTATATAGATCTGTTCATATCTATCTATCTATCTATCTATCCCATATAAATGGAGAACGGGATGTTATCCGCGATTGTGCTATAAATTGCCAAGAGAAGTCGTAGCGTGTGATTGGGAAAAGGGAAAATTGTAGCTGACGGAAGGTACACGTCGATACCCGATCAGTATCGGCAGGGTTAACGTGGAGAGGGTGTATGCTGTTGAAAGACCCGAAATCCATAACGAACCTCGGTTAGAAACATCACTGATGATATGTACTAAAGCATCCAATGAATGTATTTTACGAAATATATACATATCTTTTTGTAATTGTTCGTTCTACTCACCAGAAGATACCAATTTATATATATATATATATATATATATATATATATATATATATATATATATATATATATATATATATATATTGTCATCTACAGAAAGACTGTTTCGCTGTATATATATATATATATATATATATATATATATATAGTGTCTATTACAAGAGGTGGGATTTGTGTCGGTGTTGGAATTTTTCTTCATATAAATGGTGGTGGGGGGGTCTTAATAAAAGGAGTTCAGATAATCATTTAAATTTGAATTTTAGTAAAAAAAAAAATTTTTTCTCCCCGCAAATGAAGAAAAGACTTCAAGCAACAGAAACGTGCAGCTACAGAAGGATGTTGAGAATACCATGTACCGAACATGTGAGCAACGACGAAGTTCTAAAGATAATGGAAGCAAAAAAAAGGACACTTAGATTAACATCGGGAGGAGACAGTTGAAATTTCTAGGGTACATAATGAGGAAAGGGGGCACCGAACATTTGATACTCACAGGGCAGATTGAAGGCAAGAGAGACAGAGGAAGAGAGACAGCGCATAATTTAGCTAACGTGCTTGAGGAAAAGGATGGCGAAGAAGGCTAAGAACTAGAAGGAAATCGTGGAGAGATATGATCATCATTAACCCGAAGGGAGGACGGCACATAGAAGAAGACGAAGAGGTCGAAAAGATTCAAAAGAAACGAGTGAAAGATTTTCAAGAGAAATGACTTTCAACACGCTCAGGAATGTTACACACACACACACACAGAGACACACACACATATATATTTATATATAAATATAGGTAAATATACTCGTCTCGAATTTTTTATTTGCCAATAATCAAATCAATCTCGAAGGAAAAAAAAAAGGTTTTAAAAAAAGAAAGAGCTACAAACATGAAAGTCTGTCGAAAAAAATCGCACAGATGCAGGTTTGAAGCCCAAAAAAAACCCGACACGTGTAAACAACTAACTAAAAAGAGTTCAATACAACCGTAGAGCAGACCTAGATAAACCTAGTGAGCCAGACAAACCTACCCAGGTTTCACCTAAGCGGATCGTCAGGGAAAGCTGGCCTGCCGATCCGCTTAGGTGAAACTTGTCTGGCTCACTAGGTTTATCTATATATATATATATATATATATATATATATATATGGTAAATGTGTTTATCCATGATTACAATTCCCCCGCCCTTATCAGAAGTAGATATATAGATGTTTTTGTTGTTAGCTAATTCTTTCAGGGCTTTGATGTATCTTCGAGGAAGTGCGGTGTCATTCTTATTTTTGTATGTAGCTGTGATTAGGCCCTGAATATAGGCTTTTGTAAAATCGGAGTCATTGTGTTGATGATTTTTAACTATGTAATCTGTGGTGTCATATTTCGGTATTCAAGTGATAAATTTCTGACCAAAGCGGAGTGCTTCTAATTGTGTATCCGATAGTTGGAATTTGGATAAGTTTGTTATTAGGTCTTTTCTGCCGACATTGGACCATTTTCTATTATTAATGAGTTTATTGAGTGTGTTTTGCAAAACACAGACATTCTTCGATATATATTTATCATCTAAAAAGAAAAAAATATTAGATCGCTGAGAAATTGTATAAAAAACTAAATAAAAGCACCTTGGCTGTCGTATTCAACGAAATGTGCATGGGAGAAGGATTGCTGCCTAAATACACACACACACATACACACACACACACATATATATATATATATAAAGAACAAATGATATTTTAGCATTTCATTTCTGAGATGAGTAATTGTCATTATTCCTGAATAAGAAAATAACTCAGATATTATATACCAAATTATGAAAAGTGATACAAACACAACATTATAACAAAATGTCAAAAGCCATCTTGCATTAAATATAAAAGGCTGAAAAACACACCATTAATGTTTTTAAGGGCGGTAGCCGAGATGATATATAGGAGTTTTGGGGGGGTTTTGGGTTTTTTTTTTTTTACTAATGTTCACCCAATAACAAGGCCCAAGAGCCACTTAAGGTAGAGGGTTAGTGAGTGGTATTGTGTTAGCGTGAGAAAGGACAAGAAGTGAAATTCTTGGAGCTATGCAGGAAAGATAACGGCTAACTGTAGACTTGAAGAAGTCAAGATTTAATTAGTGAATAACATTAGAATTATAGAGTGGGAGTAGAATTTAGCAGGAACCGGAAACCAAATCCTAAAAAAAAACAAAAAAAACTAGGGATAAACTTCTATAACTATCCCCCCCAAAAAAAACTGGACAGGAGTGTGTACCGAACGATAGGCAAACCTATCTACTCTTATTTAACGTGTGTAATTGGGTGGCATAACAATGGTTGGAAGGGATAGCGAAAAGACAAACCTTACCAAGAGATACAAAAGATATGAAGTTGTGGAGAGCCATGTGTTACGGTTTTTGGGCTATATTATATGTAACTAGTGAGCGAGTCAGAATGACTTATTTCCCTTTATAGTCGACCAATAGAAGGTTGACCAAATCAGAAGCCGCACAACACTGTATTCGTTGTGTATAAAAGCGGCCATCTTGTTTCCTCTACTGGAAGGACCAAAGGCGACCAGGAGAAGGATGAACTACACTCTGCTGTGATATCCACTGCGAACCTAAACTACGCTTTCCTACTGTCTCCGAAATATTCACTGCCAACCTCTGGATTCTATACTCGAGGACGACCGTCATGAAAATGTCTAACACCATGATTATAAACGTCCTGAAGGGATAGGGTACATAGAAAAAGAATGAAGGCATTTTCAGGCGTAGCCCGAAGTTTTCTGCACGTCATCAACACTTCATGATGAAAAAATGGACTGTATAAATGCGAATTTTATTGTAAAAATATTTATGTTATTGTTATCCAATGGTCATGAGTTCAGTCCTTGGGTCGGGCAGTGAAGCATTAATAGGAACGAACAATAATTGACACCAGTGTTTCAAAATATCATAATAATAAAATATATATATATATATATATATATATATATATATATATATATATATATCCCATATTAGCGAATCAATGAACAACTGATACTGACCCGAGGGCATATGGTCGAAACGTTGTGTCTATATGAATGTGTCCATACCAACTAAGATAAGAACAGTAGCTTGAAATAATGCAAGAATAGTTTATACAGATACTTAGATATAGTGTGTGTTTGTGTGTATGGAAGTGTCCATGTGGTTGGTATGAAATTAACTAGTCGGTTTGCCGGAACTAGGACGTCTTCTCGCAGAGGAAGAATGTCGTGTTGTCACTACATCGCGGAGCAAAAAAAAAAAAAAAGAGGGGGGGGAGAGGATTTGTTGACTCTTCCTTTTATAGATCCTGAACAGCGCCACTTATCAAGCGTTTTGGAAATGAAGGTGAGAGTAATCCACGAGAAACCAATTATAGTAAATATAACTTCCTGTTTGTGCTCTGAGAAAAAAAAAAGGGGGAAATTAATAAACAGTAGAGTACGGGTAATAAGCACGGGGTCAGAAAATGACCTCAAATAAATATGTAAACGTCTGGTTTTATAAAGGTGTGTGTTCAAGTTTATCACTCTCTAAACTTTTCATATCTCTTCGACTTTCTTAATTACTTATTCTTAGGGGCTTAATAATAAGAGGGGGGTAATAATTAAAATCCCGTCCAACAATCAATAGTGGGACGGGATTTTAATTAATACGCAATAAATGAGGGTAGAGACATAATTTAAGGGGGTTGCTTTCACGTAACAGCATTCGGAAAACCCCGCGAGGGGGAGGGGAAAATAGATTTGCTAAAATGGCCGCAAGCAAGAGGGACAGTCTAAGATTTGTGTTACGAATTGGAGATGTTAAAATCAATTAAGAAATTTCACTAAGTCTTCTTGTATGTGACGTGTCACTTCGTGACGTTGACGATCGTGGCTCTCCACAATTTCCTGTCCTTTGTAGCTCTTAGTAAATTTCGTCTTTTTGCTATCTCTCTTAAACCCCGTTCTCTCACCCAAGTACACAAGCCCGCCAATTAAGTTATGCGCCATTTTCCTCTGTTGCTCTTGCCCTCCTCATGTTCTGCGAGTGTCAGATTTTACAAGCATTCTTTCCTCATTATCGGCCCTAGAAATATTAATTTCCACTTTTTGATTTTAAGTATAAGTGTCTCCTTTTTGTTTCAGTTTTCTCTAAAACTTCCCCATTGTTCACTGGTTCAGTCCATGATATTCTCAGCATCCTTCTGTAGAACCACATTTCTGTTGCCTCAAGTCTTTCCATCTGTTCGGAGATTGTCCAGCATTCATTGCTATATAGGAGGACTGACATTACATAACAATTAAGTACTTCTTTTCTTTGTTCCTAAGGATTTTCTTCTTGTTTCTTAATACTTTGCTTAATATCATTTTAATAATGTATAAACTTAAATAAACGTTATTTTTGTCGGTACACGGGTGTGAGCTGCCATCCATGTCATTTCGAAAATGAAATTAATGTCAACCGGCCTTGAAATCGAGAAGTACTTACTGACGGAAAATTTGTTTCCCGACAGGAACCGAATTTGCATTCGATTTTTTTTTTTTCCTCCTAGGAAAGAATTTCTTGGGCCACAGTGTTCCCCTTAGCAATTAGGAAAATGATAATGGATAGTTCGGTTCAGAATTTTAGGAAAGCTCATAGAAGGAACCTCCAACGTGATTCGAACTTACGATCAAGTTGTAGCGATTCATTAACCAGATTACATTCGTTAACTCGAAACCCACGCATCTGCGCAGAAAATTGACAAAAAACAAGACAAAAATATATATATATATATACGAGTAAACAAAAGATAGAAAAGAAAAGTAAACGTTTTTTGAGATGGCTTTGTAAGCAAATCAACAAACATTTCAAAATAAACTCTGTTAGGAAGAAAAACACACACACACACACACACACACACACACACACACACACACACACACACACACACACAAACCAGAAAAATCGTTCGGCAAAATTATTCTGCTTAATATAACAAAGTGGGTGAACTAAAAATAACGACCTGTTTCAATTCGTCATCTTAATTTACAGAACTGGGACGAGTTGTTTCGGAGATCAATTATCCACACTGAGAGGGGGCGAGATGAAAGAGCTGAACGGAGGTCATTGAGTATAGTTAATTGAAGGCACAAAGAGGATCTCCGATTTACAGGGTCGCCTTGGTAAATGCAACCGCAGCAAATTTAAAGAGCGATGATAATTCCCAGAGAAATGTAATAATACAGAAAAGTCTGTTCATATCTATCTATCTATCTATCTATCTATCTATCTATCTATCTATCTAAGACTTTTCATATCTCTATCTATCTATCTATCTATCTATCTATCTATCTATCTATCTATCTATCTAATACTTTTCATATTTATCTATCTATCTATCTATATATTAAGAAATGGACAAGGTCCGACAATTTATTTATTAAAGACATTTTATTATTTTATTATTATTATTTATTATTATTTTATATTATTTTATTATTATTATTATTATTTTATATTATTTTATTATTATTTATTTATTATTTTATTATTATTTTATTTTATTATATATCTAAGACTTTTCATATCTATCTATCTATCTATCTATCTATCTATCTATCTAAGACTTTTCATATTTATCTATCTATCTATCTATCTATCTATCTAAGACTTTTCATATCTATCTATCTACTTATCTATCTATCTAAGACTTTTCATATCTATCTAAGACTTTTCATATCTATCTATCTATCTATCTATCTATCTAAGACTTTTCATATCTATCTATCTATTTATCTATCTAAGACTTTTCATATCTATCTAAGACTTTTCATATCTATCTATCTATCTATCTATCTAAGACTTTTCATATCTATCTAAGACTTTTCATATATATCTATCTAAGACTTTTCATATCTATCTATCTAAGACTTTTCATATCTATCTATCTAAACGTTATTTTAGTGGATACTTATATTTAAGTAGACACTTCGTTTCTTTATCAAACATTATATTTATTTATTTTCGTCTACCGTGATAAAATGAGTCTGTTTAATGAATTAGAAATTTCTATCTATCTATCTATCTATCTATCTATCTATCTATCTATCTATCTATCTATCTATCACCTGTATACAACCGCTTTCTAAGATCAATGGTTAAAAAAAGGCTTGGTTAATCCATCATTTGAACTCTAGACTAGCGCTACAGAATCACAAACAAAGAACTGTACCAAATAACAGAAACCACATCACTTGAGGACTATCAACAGCAGCAACAACTAAAATCGATAGCACATGTAACTCGTAGTGCAAATAATGACATAGTCAAGAGACTGACTATTCCACACTACTTCAAACAGATCAAGACAAATCGTCGAAGATTGTGTGTTTATAAACAGTAATTCGGGCTAACCAGACGTTTCTCTGTGGCTAAATGGTATTGCACGTCAGATCAAATAACGGTTTCCGTATAGGAATACAGGTTCGATTTCTCGAACATTCAGGCCGGTAAATGTAATTAATACTATTTAATTAAAAACAGTGCATTTACTTAAATAATTCTGTCTATAAAAAATAATATATAAACAGAATATTCGTCTACCAACTACTAGTTTCGTCTACCAACCTGCACACTCGAAAAAATAAATAAAGAAAATGTACTCTCCGGCAAGTTTCGTAACTTCACTCCTTTTGTAAGAGAAACCAGCGTCTAATCCGATGTGTCTACTCGCGCGTGCTAAAGGGAACTTTGCTATGCCGTGACGCTTTCTGCAGCAAAGAAGGCAAGTTCACTTTATTCCGAAGGCTGGCATCTCGGTCCCACCCTTTCACTATCAAAACGGTTAAATTTGACCGTCTCTTCTACTCAAACGGCTTCTTCTCCCGCACTTCCCGTCTGTGAAACTCCCTTCCCGTTACTTGCTTCTCCGACGACTATAATCTTCAAATATTCAAGTGTAATGTTAATCTGACACCCTGAACTTGTTCCCTCTCCTTCTCTGTATCCTTTCCTCAAACACACCTCTTTACTCTTGTTCTCAATCCTCTGTAGCCCTTTGCGTGCTAGTGGCACTTCCGCCTTGCTTGGGGTAAATTTCTTTAAAAAAAAAAAAAAAGAAATTATTGTTGAACTACTTCATTTCTCCGGCGCTTAGCCGTATGGCATAGGAATTGAAGCTATACAAATATCAAGTAAAGTGCATTTTTACAAAGAGGAGGAAAGGAAAAAACAAAAAGAGGTAAAAAAAACAAAAAAAAAATAAAAACAAAACAAAAAAAAACAGAAGGATTCTAAGAAAAGAAAATGAAGACAAATTATGAAAAATAATAAAAAACTGTGAACTGAAAGAAAGATAAACTAAACAACTCGTTATTTGTAAACAGAATTCTAAAAGGATCTGTAAAAGAAAGAAAGAAAGAAAGAAAGAAAGAAAGAAAGAAAGAAAGAAAGAAAGGAAAAGAAGATAACGAGAGAAAGGAAGGTAAAGAAAAGGAAAGAAAGAAAAAAAGGGCGAATGAAAAATGAAAGAAAAAGGAAGACAACTAAGGATAGGGAAAAAGAAAAAGATAAAAGGAAAAGAAAGAAGGAATGAAGAAACGAAAAATGAAATAAAGAAAAAAGATAAAGATAGAAAGAAAAAGAAAGAACAATGAAAAAGAAGAAAAGATAAAGAAAAGAAACGGAAGAAAAAGAAAGATAAAGAAGAAAAGAAAGAAAGATAAAGGAAGGAAACAAACGAAAGTAAAACAATGGCTGAAAGATAAAAGAAAGAAACGGTCGAAAAAAAGAAAGAAAGAAAGCTGAAGCAAGGACGCGAACGAAAGAGAAAGAAAGAAAGAAAGAAAAAGAAAGGAAACGAACGAAAGACAAAGAAAGAAAGAAAGAAAGAAAGAAGTAAACGAAAAGTAGATAAAAGAAGGAAACGGTCGATAGACAAATAAATAAATAAATTAATAAAGAAAGAAAGAAAGAAAGAAAGAAAGAAAGAAAGAAAGAAAGAAAGAAAAAAAGAAAAATGAAGTGAGGTCACGAACGAAAGAAAAAGAAAGAACGAAAGTTAAAGCAAGGACACGATCGAGCGAAAGAAATAAAGAAAGAAAGAAAGAAAGAAAGAAAGAAAGAAAAAGATAAAAGAAAGAAACGAACGAAATAAAGAAAGAAAGATATAGAGACGAAATCAGCAAGTAGGCCTTGATGGCCGACAGATTTGTGGGAATTTTTTACCTATGATTTGCTGCGAGTGACTTTTGTTGTACCCTTGAACAAAGTCAGTCAATTGGGTGATCTTTATCATATAAATCAACGAATGACAAAGCAAAGAAATATTTCCTGAAAGTACATTAAATTTTTCATGTTTCATTTGGGTTATGTCAGAAAAAAAAAAACGTTTTGAGAGAGCGTGGAAAATAATCTACCTCCAGTTTTAGATATTGAGCACTTTATCCCATAAATATAGCGACATCTTAAAACTATATTTCTTCATATATATATATATATATATATATATATATATATATATATATATATATTTTGAACAATAAGAAAATAAAAAATTAAAAATTAAAATCATTAGACACACTGGGTTGTAGATTAATATTCTTTCGTTTTTTTATTATTATTATTCCATTTAGATTCCTCGACTAGTTTCGACCGAAATGGCCATCATCGGGAGGAGAAATATTTCTGCTTGCTGTTGGCAGTGAACTACAGAAATGAATGATATATATATATATATATATCAAAATAAAAAGAAAGGAGAGTCAGATTTATAATCCACAATTCTTTAGCATTTATTTTTAAAACCAGTGCTCGATACAGAGTAGAGCATAATATAATAATATTATTTAAAAATAGGTATTCATTGCGACACAGAAATTACCATGTTTCGGAACTAAAAACTAAAATTAAAATTAAACTTAAAATTAAAGTTTTTGTTCTATTCTCAAGCGATGCTGAATAACTTTCGAAAAAAAGATTTACTTTTTTTAAGCTAAATAGTATTACATAGTATAAGTTGGAGGGGGAAATGGATTATAAAATTTTAAAAAGCTGTTGCCTTTTTTTGACGAATCATGATACAAGTCTAATTTAAGATGGCAGAGTATAAATATAGGTTAATGTTTAGGTGTGGATTTGTAATTTCTGTCTGTCGATACTGGCTTCCGTATATGGGAACGTGTTATACTTTTAAAATCAGGGAGTCAATTGAATCCGTTACCTTGGTCTCAACCTTACGGTATCCTCAGGCGATTTTATCAAATGACCTCTTAACGCTTTATTATTTTTTTTTTAATAAATAAAAAAATTTTTTATTTTTTCACATGTGTATTGAGCACATTTCAATACTATTTCCTGATGTGATTAAACTCTGACCGTTCACCTTTTAGGTAATATATATATATATATATATATATATATATATATATATGAAGAAAAATATACAGAAAAAAAAAACAAACAAAAATCTTAATATGCAATTATGCTGTATTAATGTTAGCGGTACTGCCCGCTGGGATAGTCTCCTTCGGCCATCTTCAGGACATTTTCATTTAAACATAATTAACATTAGAACATATAAAAATCCAACACGAAAAGACGATGGACATAAGAGCACAACTAATCCAAACAGATAACTGAAATTTTTATATAAGATCAGCGTTCCGTTTAAATATGATCACGTCGTCGTCACGTGGGCGATGTTGTGAAAACGTATTCGAAGATGATTTCCAAATATTAAAATATTAAAAAAGTCGATTGAACTATTTTATATAAACAGTTCAAGAAATCCCTTCCGTTATGTTTAATGAAAATGTCCTGATGATGGCCTAAAATAGACCGAAACGTCCGACGTTGACTTTATATTAACATTAATACAGTATAATTACATATTAAGATTTTTGTTTGTTTTTTTTCTGTATATTTTTCTTCATACTGTCGGATCTATATCCATTATATTTGCTTACACACACACACACACACATATATATATATATATATATATATATATATATATATATATATATATATATAGTACGGTAAGTTTCACCCTGTACAAGGCCCGGGAGGTCACTCGAAGTAGACGGTTACATTAAGAGGCGGATTATGCGGATAGGAGGGTAAGATAATTGTTAACCATAGGCTTGAACAGGTTAAGATTGTAGAAATCTGGAAAACATCCTCTTGGGAGTTGGTTCCACAGAGCAGTGTTTCGCGGGTAGAAGCTGTTCGAGTGGAACTTACTTCTCACTACTGGAATACGAAGGGAATGTGGCTGGTTGGCTACAATATAAGTAGCATGGTGGGTTCTAGCCATGAAGGTTCAACCTGACGGAACCAAGGAATGGAGTTCGTCCGAGAAATTTCCATGGAATAAACGATAGGGCATGTAAGACCAATAATGGAAAAGCGAATAGAAAAACTTCTAAGTGACGCGTTTCGTTCCGAGAATGAACTTCTTCAGACTAATAATAATGTTATCGATGAGGTCAGTCATATATATAGGGGAGAACGTATGGGGAGTGATACAGCAAACGTTGATTATAGTTTTACGCTGTAAACATTAATGATACAGGGAAGGCCGGATTTAAATTTAAATTTTGACGTCCGCTGAATCCAGATGTTTTATTTAGCCAACCACATTCAGCTTTGTACGTTTTTCTTTCTTTTTTTTTTTTGATTTTTTTTAAGCAGAAGAGATCATAAATGTATGCATCGATATAGGGAAAAGAAAAACCCAAAAAGAACAGTAAAAGATAGATAGATAGATAGATAGATAGATAGATAGATAGATAGATAGATAGATAGATAGATAGAGAGAGAGAGAGAGAAACAGAGGTGAACTGAGGCTTAGATAGATATAAACAGACTGAGATAGATATAATCAGATATAGGGAAAAGAAAAACTCGAAAAGAACAGTAAAAGATAGATAGATAGATAGATAGATAGATAGATAGATAGATAGATAGATAGATAGATAGATAGATATGACCAGAGACAGATAAACAGAGAAGGACATAAGAAAAAATATAAGTGGTAAATAGGTCATAACTTCTGAAGAGTAGACGGACAGGTGTACCCACGAAACCCTGGAACTGGGATGCCAAAGGTAACATCAATCTGTGATAAACTTTTACTCGTATTAATCTGATATATATATATATATATATACACACACACACACACATATATATATATATATATATGTGTGTGTGTGTGTGTGTGTGTGTGTGTGTGTGTGTGTGTGTGTGAACAGATAGATAGATAGATAGATAGATAGATAGATAGATAGATAGATAGATAGATAAGAACAGTCTCACTCTCTTAGATGACTAAACAAAGACCGGATATACAGTTGGGCCTTGTTTAAAAATCAGATTTTCGACTCCTACAATTGGCGCAGGTTGATAGATAGATAGATAGATAGATAGATAGATAGATATGAACAGAAAGATAGTAGCCAACGATATTGTATTTAATGCCGTTTGTATCAGAGGAGCTTCATTCATTTTGTGGCCATTTTGACAATGCCTGTTATATTGTACTTTGACCTTATCTACTAATAGGTTTCTTAGGTTACTAGTCCTATTATGGTTTCTTGGGATGTATTAAACAATATGATCTGGATATGTGACAACTACAAAAAATGTAATTCAAAATTGGAACAGTCAGACCTTGTCGGCGTATTCAATAAAACCTGTTTGGATATTTCATCGCTGCCAAAGTATCCGTTAAAGAAAGAAAGAAAGAAATGATTATAATTCATTCGAAAATTATAATATAAACATGTTATAAAATCACTATAAAAATAGCCATTTTGTTTCAACACTTCTGGTGTCTTATCAAGTGATGGTGTTGAATGTAGAATAAAGAATTTTAAAAGGTTCAAACCAAGCAAACACCTCTCAATAGGAGAAACGCTGTAACATATCGAGAGGTGTTTGTTTTATATATATATATATGTATATATATATATATATATATATATACTGACGTCATGTATTCTGATTTATATCTAAAAACATTCAAATATTCAAAATTGGAAGCAGAGGCTGTTTACAGACATTCTTGGTGCCACAAGGTCTTTCACGAGACCTCCCTTAACAGCAGACAAAGATCAGACGATAAGCAACATTGGTTACTTCTATATCCGCTTCGTGAATGACTGTCCCGTAGTTACTGAATGTTTTTGGTGCCATAATTAATATTATTAAGCCATCAGCTGTGGGTTAAATAGTAAAACTTGCGTCACTAAAACCATTATTATCTAGATATCATAATGGTGATAAAATAAAATAAAATTGCGTCCAAAATATTTAGATTTCGGCATTAAATAACACACAGAGGTATTGATATGCCGCTAAAAATATCCTCTCATGGTATTCCTAACGGTACTGCCCGCTGGGATAGTCTCCTTCGGCCTATCTTATGACCAAGTCACCTCCTTGAAAAATCAACCATAATCGATTCAAACCCGGATCTTGTGGTCGGGACGCGATCGTTGTAAACACTCGGCCACGCGAGTAAGGAGAGATGATCACGCCTAAAACTGGGGTGAAGTGAGACCAAAGGGGCGGCCATGTTCGCCATTTGTTATTCCGTCATAGCGCACGTGTTTGCATGCGCGAGGACGCAACTGATATAAGAGCGCGTCCTTTTTTTTTTTCAGGACGCGGTTTTTTTTAATGGGGGAGCAGTACCATAGCCTGTTCAACTCTCGAACTCTCTGCCTCGGCAGAGAGGAACCCGGACGAAGATTTGCCGAAGGGCAAAGTTTTCGTCCGGGGAGGTAGACAGATCCCGAACCCGCTTATACGGGTTCTAAGCGAATATTTTTCGCCGAGCCTACGTTAAACGTTAAACTCGGCCTTGTGCCACATACATTCCTCGTGGGAGGACTGTTAAATATCGGTAGTCGACACGCAGTCTCTGACTGTGTGCGACTTCTTTTCGAACTCTCTGCTTTGACGGAAAGGGACCCAGACGTGGCTTTGCCGAAGGGCAAAGTTTCGTCCCGGGAGGTAGACAGATCCCGACCCGCTTATACGGGTTCTAAGGGAACATTTTTGGCCGTGTCTACGGGCTTGGAGAAACCCACGTTAAACTCGGCTTTATGCCACATACATTCCTCGTGGCGGGACTGTTAAATACTGGTATTTTTTTTTTTAATCAGACGGTTTTGAACGGGCAGTGGATTGACAGCGAAAAAGACTTGTGTACTGAGATTTCTTGATATTGGTGTACAATTTTTGATTACAACATTTCCTTCTGCACCCCCCCTGGATTTTACAGTGTTTTTAATTATGGAACAGTTTTGTCTTGATTTGATCCTGGATTTCACATTGTTTTGATCATCAAACTATTTGCCTTTTTGAATTTAAAAAACGACTTTAAATAAACTACAAAAACGACACAGTTCCTTGTGTGTGCCAATTCCTGTGGAATCTGTTTGATCAAATTCAATGCAAAAAATGTTGCTGAAAACCATATCTGTATTATTTTAGCCACTGAGCAGGTCCATAAATAGATATAATCATTCGTTCAGACGGACTGAAAGGATTTCATTGAGACGTTAACGCATAGACGCATAATGGCGTAGATTTATTAGATAGGTCAGCACAAATATTTATGTAGGCTTTTCCGGGTCTGCGTGCTGAACGGGAAAAAAAAAGAAAGACAGAACGGAGAAGAAGGAAAGAGAAAGTAGAAAAAAAGAAAAGGAAGAAAAAGAAAATAGCAGCAAAAAATAATAAAAGGCAAAGTTGAGAAGAAAAGGAAAAATGCAAAGAAAAAGGAAGAAGACGAAAATGAAATAAGAAAAAGACGGAGAAAATGCAACCCCCAGAAAAACAAGGACACAAGAAATTAAATAAACCGAAAGGAAAGAAGAAAAAGAAAAGGCAAATGGAATATATATATATATATATATATATATATATATATATATATATATATATATATATATATATAAAAATATGATTCCAACGCTACATAAGAGTTCTCATGTTTCAAAAAACAAGAGCCGAAAAAAAAAAAAAAAATTCGCTTGAAGATGGAACAGAGCTTAGTACTTTAATTCAATTCTAATAATTATATTGAAGTTTTCGGCTCTTGTTTTGAAACATGAAAACTCTTATGTAGCATGTTGGAATTTTGAAATAAATAATTATATTTATGCTCTACTTTTGTATCGAGCACTATTTTTTTTAAAAATAATAACAAAAATACAAAAGAACTTTGGATTATTTACCTAACGAGTTCTTTCCTATTTTCTATATATTTTTACACACACACACACACACACACACACACACACACACACACACAAAAAATATATATATAGGTGTGTGTGTGTGTGTGTGTGTGTGTGTCCAGTGTGTGTGTGTGTGTGTGTGATTTGTATCCTTCGAAAAGGTTCAGGCAGTTTTGCATGCAGTAGGTTGCCATTTCTTTCTGCGGTAGACCAGTTGTCATCCAAGGCTATAGAACCCGATCTGTCCAGCTATTTACCTATAGCTGGGAGGGTGGGAGAAGAAGAGGGTATTAAGCATGTAAGTGAATGTAATGGATTCGACTGGAATTCGAACTCGGCTCTCCGATTCCTATGAGAAATAAGCAAAACGGAGGTTGGATATGAAATTGTAATCTTTAGAACATCAACAAAATACAATACTCGCCAGAGGCGTGAAGTAGGTCAACCACTGCTAGTGGTGGACTACTTAGACAGCATATTACCCCCCTCCACTTACCATAGTGTCCAATGTATTTCTGAAGATTGAGACATGCCCATTAGTATGAATACTAATGGGTGATACTAAAGATCACGCTCAGGAGGCGGGAGCTTAGGTGGCTGAGTATCCCCATATTTTTATTCAAAAACACTCTATTTTTCGAAATAATGTTTGCATAAATACTCAATGTTGTTTTCAAACAAATCAAATCGATTTATCTAAGTTCATTAACGTTTTTTCAAATTATTATGAATAAAAAAGTAAATAAACTTAAATTAAGATATACAGTGAGGTGAAACAAGTATTTGGACAGTAAAAAAAAAAATGGATTTAGAATCATATATTGAAAGAAAAGCATTGTCTAAAGCTCACAATATATATATCGCCGGACATGAATCCAATAGAGAATCTTTGGAGAACACTGAAGAATCAGATTCGTGAAAGGCGGCCAAAGAACCTCAGTGAATTGAAAGTTTTTGCAGAAGAAGAATGGGCTAAAATTCCCACCAAATCATGCCAGGCGCTTGTAGAGAGCTACAGGAACAATCTGAGAGCTTTGGTTGCAAATGAAGGAAGACCAACTAAATAATAAACACATTTAAAGCATAATTTATATTCTGTCCAAATACTTTTTTCCCTACCTGTTTTAATAATTTGTATATAAAATATATATACGTGTCAAATAATTTATTTTTGCTGTTTATTTGCATTTATAATTGTTTTACGAATATATTGTGAGCTTTAGACAATCCTTTTCTTTCAATATATGATTCTAAATCCATTTTTTTTTTACTGTCCAAATACTTGTTTCACCTCACTGTATTTAAACATATTTAATTTAATCATTTTTTTTTCAAGCAAAAACTATAGCAAGCCTTACTTCTTCGAAAAAATTATTTACTATTTATTTTGGAGGGGTATTTAGATTTTGTAAGTAAATAAAGATTACATGAGTGATTATTTTCTTTTTAAAGAAATTGAAAGAACAAACATATCTCCGTAAATGAATTTAATTACTAACAATTTTGAAAGAGAGTAGGATAAGATACATTGAGAATTTAGTTTTGAAAATCAATATGTTTAGATTTCAAGTTATATTTATATTTGAAAAGAAAAAAAATAGTTAAATGAAAATTAGGAGAGACAGACATGATTTACAGTCAACATTAGTCGTGTTGTATATTTGTTTTACGAATTGAACTATATTTTATTTAAATTAATTTTCAAAAAAATAAGGCTCGCTACAGTTTTTTTTTTTTTGCTTTATTAAAACTTAATTTTAAATTATTTACTTTTTTATGCTAATTACAAAGCAAAAAAAAATGAAGTTTATTTTTTAAAGACTGAATAAAAAATATTTCCATAAGATGGCCGAAAAATATTAATAAAATTAAATTTCTTCTTTTAAATTTACTTTGTTGTTTTAATATTCATTTTTTTAATGTTATGTTTTTTTATTTACTGTAGATATGGAAATAAATTCAAGAGAATAGAAATTTTAAAAATACATATAGCGTTTCGAAATTATCAGCAGAATTAAAAAGAAAATACGAACAGAATAAGAATTATTCCTGTTTGTGTTTGTTTTTTAATTCTGAGAATTTCGAATGCATTCTAATGCAATTATTACGTATTTTTAATTCTAAAATATCTTCGTAAATACAAATCATACGATGATAATTTTTTTTATAAAAACGTGGGTTGTGCGATACCGAGTCTGTATATATATTTATTTTGTCGTAATTATTGTAGTTTTTAGTTTTAACCGGACACACACA